GCTATCGATAATGATTCATTGTTGAAAAGGCATCATCAAAGAGATCGCAATACAGGAACAGGGTTAAAGATCTAATTCAAGCTTGAATTTTCAAAAATGGATAAAAGCCTTCATGTGATTTACTACAGGTTTTTCGACACCACTGTTTGTATGGTGTTTGTAGATCTAGATCAGACTAATTTGTAGGTCCAGATCAGATTATTCATCAATCTAGATCAGACTATTATATCATTTTTAAGAAATAGTTCAGAAGAGATAGCAAACATGCATACATCTTGGGATGATTTATTTTGTTACACAATTTTTAATATTTTCGTGGGGTCTTTGATATTTCAAGCCATCAAAGACACCGTCCAGCTAAAAAAAACTTCACATTGCTATCAGCCCTTTCCCGTACTGTGATATCAGAGAAAGAAAGAAATCAGAATGCCGAGAGAAAAATCAGAAGGTTTTCAAATTATTAAAAGCCGCGGTGAAATCGACAACTTATTATTAAAGACTGATATTTTCACATAGCCGGATAGAAACACAACATTAGCTAATAAAGGTCATGGTTCAGTCAAATCACAGTTCTTTCAGTGTCATCATATTTCAGCTTGTGGCGGACCAGTTTCAAATAAATGTCGTCCTCGATAGTCATTATAAAGATTAGTTGAGAATATACCAAAGTTTGACTAAAAAGCCAAACAAAATCTCTAACTGCTTCCATTGTTCCATTACTTCAATTGATATAACGAAAAAATATTTTAAAAAAAAACCGAAACTGTTTGAGATAGTTTTAAATAGCTAGAGATAACTTCAATGAAACATAGCGGTAGCTTTTAATCTTTCCTAAAGCGTTCTCTTATTTATACTGCTTTTAACAACTTTTTTATATCGTTTCTTTAGAAGGAGAAAATAAAGAAGTAATTTTGAAGTTACAACTACAATCAAGAAATGCAAAACTTCCCCATTTTTTTAAATGGTTAGACAGTTGTATTGGTGTGAAAGAAATGATAATGAGTGGACTGAAATCTTCAAATGATAAAGCTAACTTTCATCTTTCTCTTTCAATCGTCTTTTCTCTTTCAAGTTTCATTTCATTTCTTTATCCTCTAACAACAGTTAGTTATGTCTTAAATGTGGAATTGAAAATTTTCTATTTCTATTTGAAATTCTTACTTGTCTGTGTGTGTTGTTTGCATGTTACGTTTCTCCAAACGTTTGCAATTTTGTTTAAGATCGCCTCTACACCACAAGAAATAATAATTGCTGCTGCTGCTGCTTTGCCGAATTTTTGCAAAATTCGTATGCAACAACGACAATTGCAAAAACAATTCTGCAACTGCGCTCTGATCTTCTGTAAGTGACAAATGCATCCAATCAGTAGGCATCACGGCAGTAAACAACAAAACAGCATCAACTGTTTCCTGATCAGTCTAATCGAATCCTTATATAATAAGATCAATGAAATATACATCCATTTCAAGCAATTAGTTTTCAGCTGGTCATCGATTCAATCTAAGTTACATCTATCATCATAAATCATCTAATCAATCTATTCTTGTTTGGCCCATTTGTCATGCACTTTCGATTACCTTAAATCTATCACAGCAATTCACACCATCACACCATTGAGCAAGTTTTTCAGTTTTGGAATCTACTTTTTTTTTGCAAAGTTATAAAGTTCATGGGATCAAAATTTTAAAAGTCTTTAAACTTTTGAAATTTCGACGTTACAAGCAATTCTTCATTCTGTCTATGCATGTAACGTACACAGTACGATGAACTTTCCAGATAACAGTGACATGGATATGTCAGCTTGATTACTTTCAAAATGGTAGCAAAAGGATTTTCAGGAACAAATTGATGTTCATCTTTAACAGGAGATACGACATTTGTCTATTACTCAAGGCTGTGTTAATGTTAGGTCACTTGCTTATTAAGTATCATTCAAGAGTGCAGGGGTCCAATCATCTATAAAATGCCCTGCTGTAGGCTTTTGTAAATGAACCGTGTAAAAGTTATTTACTCGAAGAAGCTACACTTAAAAAAAAGCTTACTTTTATAAAGCTCAAACATTTGTATTGATAAAAATGTGCATATGTATTTGTATGTGTAAACAAGTAAAGCTAATGTTATTTAATTTCTTGATTTGTCGCAGATTCCACTCCTAGGGAAATTATTGAAAGTGGTGTAGTAAGTGAGCTTTTCATCGCATCATTGCAACTTTTCGGGTTGACAACGAATTTCTCACTCACGTCAGTGCTAGTTTATCAAATCTTGGCAAAAATTTCCCAATTTTTGAGAAAAATCGTACAATTTCACTCTTCTTTTTCATGTTTCTGCAAATAGAAACTTGACTGTATTTCTGTTTACGAGAAAAAATTATGAAAAACAACTATTTCAAAAGTACAAAATAACTGGCAAGGTGGTCACAATTTAGCTATGCTAAATTAAAATTACAAATACTTTCCAAATTTGAAATATCATCTCACTATTATGAAGTCAGCGTAAAATTGATTCAATTCATTTCCATTGATACTATTTGTTTAAACTGTGGATGGCTCGAGCTTTGCAGCTATCACCGACAAGATAACCAGTTCACTTTGAGCTTTTTGATGAATGTGCTTCATTTTTACCCGAAAGTTTTAATAGGAAATGATAAGATTTGTAAGGTAAATTTAAATTCTAAACAATTGTCATTCGATGACTGAAAAAGTCCTTTACTCCAAAATAATTAGACTAATTTCAATAAATCATACGTCATTAACTACTATTTATGCTAATGCATCAAAAGGGTTATGTAATCTCTCAAGAGTACGTCACTCTTTTGATGCACTGACATAAACGGCTTGTAATTTTATAGTTTCAACAATTGCGTCATTCTTCGGATGCTTTAGTGTAAGCAATTCTCATAAACGAACAATGACACAAATATTTTTCAACCGAATAAAGTTTCAGTTTTTACTCATTCTTATCAAAATTGGTTCAATGTTTGCATTCACTATCAAAGTCCCAATGCAATATTTTAATCTGTAATGCAAATCATTGGTTTATTAATGACTGTACTGACCTGATACGTAGAGAAAATTGGTAAAAATGAGCCTAACACATCAAAATCTTTCTCTGTCCCAATAAATCATTTTACTTTTTTGCTATTATTATAACAAAATGTTAAAAATTGTCAAATTCTTAACTAACTTTTAATTAATTTTAATTCAACACTGCAAAAATTTATCAGGTTGACGATAAGTAAAAATCCGACTTTAAATGGGAAACGATAATTTATAATTTTTGCTTTGTGTTGTCGCTAAGTCATTATCGCAACGGCGATGATATTGCATGGTGACAATGGTTTTAAAGTCCTGCCTTATCATATTGTTTTTATTGAAATAATGCTATTCTGTTTTAGTTCGCTGTAATAGTATGAGCCTTTTGTTAGGCTTGTTAAGATAGAATGAGAGAGAGAGAGAGAGAGAGAGAGAGAGAGCGAAAATCTAATTCTCATTACCTACAAATTTCTCGAACTAATTCCTAAGTATAACAAAATGTAATCCATTACAAAATTCGGTTATAGTTATTTCTTGAAATGCCACAGTAAGTCACACTAGTGACAAAGATTCTGATTTATAAATCAGTTCTTCGTAAAATTTCAATTCACTATTGCGAAACATCATTTTCACCTTTAGCAGAGTTGTACGACGACGATATTTCACATGAGATTTAAAAAATTTCAATGCTTTCGAAAACTTTTGACTTCACATAGAAATCTTCTCAAACTTTGGGCATCTTTCATTTGATTTGCATTGTCTCAAGTTCACTTGTTAAAATTGCGCCTAAAAGCTTCTCTGGTTTTTTGGATTTTTGATCTCACTTGTAATAAGAGAAAGGAACTTCCTATATACTTGACGGTTTAAAATTTCCTTTCCAGCCCCCGTCTCTTTTTTAATTTTGTTCATCAATTCTATTTATTCACATTTTGCTTTCTCCTATTTCTGACCAGTGGTTTAATTTGCCTTAAGGAAACTCCGAATTGGTGTAAAAAGAATTACCACTGAGGACTTTGTTTATTGGCTTCTTGACTGCTGCTTATCGGTGGCAACAGAATACTGCCGGGACTTATTTCTAATAAATATATTTCTTTCCCCTCATCAATTATTCATCGCAAAGTGCATCTTTGGTTATCGCTAAATATTTCTTTTTTCCGCTGTTTTATTCAAATTAAAATTTTAGAACGCAAATTGCTTCCTGTCAAGAATATCTATCACACAAATTCGATTTCTGGAATTTTTTTAAGACTGTTTTTTAGACTCAAAGATCCGATTCTGTCTAAAACGGCGAACCCTGGAAATCGTCATATCTATTCCAAAAAATTTGGGTAGATTTTAAGAAACTGTATCACCTGTTCATCAATAAATTAAAGTAACATTAACCAGTGAGCATGGTCTAACTGTGAAAGAAAGAGAAAAAGAAATTTGGCTGGCCTAAAAAGAGATCTTGACGATGCTTTCCTCAGAGTGATTTTCTGACGATGTTTCTCGAGCAATCCTTAAGGACACTTCAAAATCCCAATTGGAACAAAAGAAAGTATAAGGATTGAATTTTCTTCCAAAGTGCTACGTCAACTATGTGATATGTCTTAGGATTTGCTTATTTTCTCATTCTTTTTCGATCCATTCCTCTTCTTTTGCATTATTTTCACATGTTTGAAGTTATTGTGCAATTAGATCTGTGGTCTCAGAATATATTCTAGCTGCACTTACTTCTTAAGTTTTATTGTTTCTTCAAGTAATTTAAGTTATTAGAAAATTTCGCTTAAATTTGTCCTTGCTAACCACTTCCTTATACTTTCTCTATTTGATCGCTTTCCTTTGCTCAGTAAATAAACGAACCGCTAAGCGAAAATCTAAAATTAAATTGACCAATTATCACTTCAAACCCTTTCATGGTAATAATGTCCTGTAGGTAAATATGGTAGCCAAAGAAGTACATATTTGATGATAGGTATTTAGAAGAAGAACAAAAATATCTGACAAATTGATCTTTCGAGTGACCAAATTTGTAACATAATCGCATCACAAATGAGCAGAAAAAGACAACTTGGGAAAAATAAATTTAGGATATAAATTCTGTCTGATTAGTTTAAATAATAAAAAATGCATCAAGTCTGAAATTTTGATCAGATAGACTATAATCAGACAGATACTACCCCACTTGTAAATGAAACCAATAAGCGCTAAGGGACTGAAAAGAACTGGGTGGATCCGGTATTTTATTTATTATGCTTTTTGGGAAGTGCATTTTCCATTTCAAATAAAAAAGAAAAAGAAAAAAAAACTGCAGTAAGATTTAACAAAAAAAAAGCTATTTTCAAAAATATTCGATAATCTTCAGAATTTTTTCCTAGAAAATGTAGAAAAAAGTTCTTAAAGTGATTTTAAAACGATTCCGGTTTCGTTTCCGAAAAAAAGATTTTTTGTAATTTTCCACAAAGAATTGATTGCTTTGCTCTCTTCCTTTCACTTTATTCTTTCATCAAAATGATTCACATCTGAAATGTTTTTTTTTTTTGCGTTTTTGATTTCTGAAATCATCCAGCACAGCTGAAGTGTATATGCCCATGCTGTCCTCCAGAAAACAGCTATAAAACGCGCTTTTTTCCTTGTTTTATTTTGAAACGACATAGAATGACTTTTGTTGCATTGATCATTTACCCTGAAGATTTCAGACTTGATATCTGTCACGTTCATGAGTATGTCTGTGTCTGTGTGTTCACGTGTATCTGTGTGTGTGTGTGTGTGTCATTGTAATATATGTGGAAACATACTATATGTCGTGTATTATGCATTTGTATTATTCTTACATATTTTCCTTCAAACTCATTTTCACTATGATTAGAAAGTTCTCATTAATTTCTTTGGGAGAAGGAAGGCTAAGAAATACATAACAAATAAATAATATAAATTAATTAAGTTACAAAAAACCACAAAGAATGAGAAATTTCTTTCCTTCAATTTTTACGATTGTATATGGTGAACGATATTTTGAATCAGCGGTAACTGATGTTTGAAACTTTCAAACATTTCTTTATCTCTTAAGGTACAAAATGCCTTGTCTTATAAATAGCGACAACAAAACAGCTGGTCTTCTTGCGCATCACATTCTATAATGGTGAGAAGTACAGGTGAAGACGACTTGCAGCTTAGGTGATCGGCGCAAAAATTAGTACGAACCAAAAAACATTTTCATATATTTTCTTTCGGGTGGCGGAAGAAAGATAAAAGAAAATGGAATATATTCAATAATTAATTGAAGATTCTGGAACAATTTTAAAAGGCTAGAGGTTCTTTTATCCAAAAATGATTTGGCTTGATTGCAATAAGATTTCTGATAGCCGTATGATTAAAAAAAAAAACGCGTTGTTCAATATTGCAGATTTCAATCATTTCATTTGGAGGTCATTCCAATTCTCCCAGTAAGGATAAACTTCGGGATATTTTTGTTAGGGAGATCTTTTTAATTGAACTAAAAATGACAGCTATTTTGAAAGGGTTTATACAGCTGTTGAATGTATACCTGTGATTCTCAATATCAAGTTAGGCATTTACATGTGCAAGAGTGGAAAGTACTAATACAGACAGACCCAATTCTCACACTTCGCCTAACAATCCATCGAGCAGTTTTTCCCTCCCTTACACGCTTCTGAGAGTAATCACATCCAAAAAGCTATTCAGGTTAATTTATTATATTTATAATACCAGTACTTTTCAAGCGATTACAAACATTCAAAAAGAGTTACATGCAAAAAGTAGAAATCAGAAATGCATGAGCCTTTGACTGATCGACTTAGCAAATATGTTTTCTTTAAATCTTGTTTTGCTTGTTAAAAACCTCGAGAATTCCTCTACAAATGACAAATACCTCGATCCAGGATATGAAAATTTATTTGAAATTAACTAGCGTTCTATAAATATGAGTTGAACGTGGTAGCTAAATCAGTGTCCAAAAAATATTATTTAATTATTTTATTCAATCGTTCTTACTTACTGAGAAATCTATCAAAACCAATTTTTTAACTTTTTAATATAGGATCGAAAAAGTCAAAATAATATTTTGTGTAGGATCAAATATAGATCAGAAAAGATAAATGATTAAAAAATCAAAGAAAGGTGAAAATTTTAAACTCTGACATTTTCAGGCAGTTGATGCGAACTCCCAGAGCAGCATTCAAGTATTCGGTGCAGTTTAATCGGGACGAAGATAGTTTACAAAGTGAGAAAGAGCTATTATAGAAGTAAACATTTCCCCATCAATAAAAGCGAGAAAGGTGCCAAAACCTTGTCAGAAAGATTCTAAGATAATCAAGATATACTGTTGCTGGTATTGAAATCCATAAACAATTCAAGGTACCCATCCACTCAATAACTATAAACTTCCTGAATATATGGATCTACAACAACAGCGATTACTAGCAGAAATTCTCCAGCAACCCGAGCAGAAAACTTTGGAATTGAAAGAATATCAGACGACATCAGAACATCTGCAGCACCAAATCCTGAATCCCGAGGCAATGGCTAATAATTTTTGGTTCATGTTATTTGCCATGCAACGAAACGGACCGATATACCCGAGCCTCATGCAGAATCTGAATTCTCCTGTTATTTACTCAGCTTCTACTAGTAATAGAAATCAGATTTTCTCTGGCTTTGACTCAATGATGAACACGAACTACCTTCCGACAGTTGCACCCTCCACAATGCCATTGCTGAATATACCATTTATTGAGGAGGCACAGATTGATGATATGGGGAGTTTTCTGGTGGTAGACGAACTACAGAAAAAAACAGATTCTACAAAGCAAACTTGGCAGAATCTCATGCGACATCAAGAAATGCAATTACCACAGCTGATAACACAGCACGGACTGCATCAACAAGTACCGTCGGTATCACCCTTCATGAAACGGCGGATTTCAGAATCTCTACAGCAGCAACAACAACATCAGACGGCGGAAAGTGCTCAAATGACAGTAATTAAACGAGCTAAAGTAATCGTGATCGAACAGAAAGATCCACAACTGGCACCTTGCTGCTCTTCTGGTCAGTTTTTATGTCACATTTGTTAAGCGTTTAAATTCTCCAGTTCTTCTAATTAAAATGGATTGTATTGTAATGAAAACGTATCCGTGTCTAGATTTTGAGAATTTCTCTTCTACGTAATCTGAACCAATTAATAAGCACAAAAAAATTAAAGATAAAAATTCTTAATCAGAATTTACAGAATGACTACTGGCATTCAAGCACTATTTGAATAAGCTGCAAATTTTCATTGTCTATGCAGTTTTTCTTGAATATGTGAATTTCCGGGCCGAAGAAGTTCTTGTCCACAATATTTGCTGTTTATTTTATAATCAGAACCGACTTAATTTATAGATGATCCTAACAGAATCTCAACCGTTAGAAGAATGGATTGGTCGCAGGAAAAGATCAAAAAAATCGGCAGTAACATTTACGGGAAACGAAAAGGAAGAAATGTCAAATGTGGTGTCGATAGTCACAACGATAACGGTGAGAATGAAAATAGTGAGGACGTACAATACGTGGATGTGGAAAGTGTGGACGAGAAGTTGGATACTAAAGAACAGAGGAAAGCACTGATTGAGTTCTACCGGAAAGTTAAAACAATCCGGATGAGGTATTATTTTCTTAAAAAAAGTATTGTTCAATTTACGATTGATTGCGAAAATATTTTAAGCAAATAAAAAAAATCATTTGAGGAAAGCTTAAATCAATCAATCTCTTTTTCTTCAGTTATGCGAGAGAGGATTTGCTGATCTGTCAGATGTGTGAACAGAAAGTGCAAAATTCCGACTCACTAATACTGATTCATTTATATGGACATGCTGAGGTAATGCCGTATCGCTGTAAAATGTGTGGCGCTAGTGAATGCCAACTAGAACGAATGTATGCTCATATTAAACAGGGACATCCCGACAAGGTCAACTTGTTTACTAAAAAAATTATTTTATAAAAATCTAGAATTTTATCAATATTTTGGAAAAAAAAACTTTCGAACGAAACTCATAATGCTTTCATAGAAATGTATGTCTCATCTGGAGTGGAATAAATAAATACGTTCAAACTAAAAAAAACATCGTTTTCTTTATCTTTAAGGATAACCTAATTATCATTGTAGGATCCATCGATAACTTATGAAAATCGACGGAATATGGCTCAACTAATATCCTTGTTACAAACATGTTTTTCGCGGAATATTACCAAAACAAAAACGGCATGTTCTGATGTTCGTTTCCTAATTTATCCTTATTTATCGTAAGACATTTGCGCTTCACATTTATAGTTCACATAATAATACTGAATTACTTCATTGATTATATTTTTATCAAATAGCACTTCTATTTTTTGGTTGCAAATTAACGCAACAATAACATTTTCGTAGCAATGGTAAAGATTGTAATAATAGTAAAGTGGAAAAGATTAACAGCAATGTCACAGCTCTTATCATAAAAATAATAATTACAATAATGGAGATGGTAATGATAGTGAGTAATAATCCTAAAAAAATTTAAATGAAATTTTATTTAACGAAGTTGCTTTTACTGATATGAGACAAAATAGCTGAATAAAAAAGAAAAAAAAATAGCTGGATAAATAAAACCAGCTAAAGAGTTAGAGAAGAAAAACTTTTTTTGTTTCAAAATTCATTTCCTTTTAGCTGACTGATAAGATATGCGTGATAGTTAAGGAGAAATCGCTAGCCAAATTGACATGTATGGTTTGTATGAGAAAAATTTCAACACGAAGGAAGTCATTAATGCGTCACGCCCAAACACATCTCCATTACAGGTTTATTTCATGCCATCATTCTGAATATGATTAAATTTTAATTCAGGGAATTTCGGTACTTATTTCTATTAAAGAGCATCAAAAGCTTTTTTCCCTAACAGAATAAGTTTTCATAAATTCCTATAAAGATGTAAAATGAAACGAAATAATTCAGTGATGAAATAAAGGTTGACCTAATAAACCAGCTTACCGACAAGCCTTCAGATTAATCTGCTTTGCGACTGAAATGTCGTAATATCCCGGTAATCATAATGAAATATTGCAACAGAAATGTTGTAGATGCAAAGATTGTGGTATCATATTGTTCGATGAAACAACTATTATTGAGCATGGTGCAAGGAAGCACGACATTGTGAATCCACAGCGCACTACTCATTACGATGCATGCATCAATACTTCCGATAAAAGACAAATTGCACTGCATAACTGCTTCGGCAATATTTTAGGCGAAAAGCTGTGAAAAAAAGAATGGAAGAGAAGCTCGTTTTTGAAGTCTTCTGTTTAATTATAAATGAAATATGATGAAAAGAGATAATGATGATCGATTTCTGATTATATCAGTAAAATAATTGAGCTCATTTCTTTCTTGATTTTTTCGTTTGTTTGTTTTGCTTTTTGCTTTCCTGTTTATTTTCTCAAATATTCTAATTGTCAGCAATTAAGGTATGCATCCTACTTCAGGAATCATTTCATGACTTCAAAGAATAAAAAAAAACTGATTCATTTAAATAGGATGAAAAGATCTTATATTTCCATATGAACTAAACAAAATAAGCATCCTTCTAGTACCAAGAAAAATCCAAAAATTAGTTAAAGTTTCCGGAAAATTTATAAATAAGGGACTTATCATTTGCTGATGTAATTACAGTAAGAGATACAATAACTAAGTTCATCATCGAAACAATTTAATAGTACGGATGATTCGTCTACATTCCACTATTTGTTCTTTTTCCCCGTCTAATTTGTTCCTTTTTTTCCACTTAATTATTCTGCAAAAATTTTCACTTAAAGCTAAATATGATGAGCTTTCTCGTATTATATGCATTATCAGTAACAGTCTTGCAAAGAAATCAAAATTAAAATCTCAACTCAAGATATTCTAATTAAGACTAAATTTTTAATTGCAGAACTGATGTCTACAAAAAAAAAGAAATCTTTTAAACATATAGAAATTTATTTAAGTTCGTTGTTAAGTGATGAAATATTTCGTTAGTAAAAGTTTGAAAATATAGAAAATGGTTTCCAACCTTTTCTAGACCAAGATCCATTTTTGCTTTTTATTTGCAGTAGTGACCACAAAGTTCAAAAACAACAAATCCTGTTGAACTGAAAATGTACTTTAATCATAGCTTCTAACGTATTAGTTCATCAAATATTTATGAGAACAACCCCTTATTTCCTACCCACCACCCGCCTTTGCAGACAACTGGTTAGGAACCACTAGTGATTACACTAAAGAATAATTGGCAACCTTTTCACAAAATGGAACCATAACTGTTGTCAGTCAAACAGTCCTCAATTTAAAGAATTTTTTTTCGTAAGGATCATGGGCTACTGTTTTAATGCGAACATTTGTTTCTTTTTCCGATTTTTCTGGTCTTCTTATTTCAAATAAACTTTGGATACACTCGAAACAAACCGCTTATTTGTTGTTAAACAAGAACAGTTTGATAAAGCGCATCGAAAAATTTTTGAAACAAAAAGGATTGGGTAACAAGATGTTTGTAGCACAGAAATTGATGATCGTAAGTCTAAAATGTGTGGCCATATGTTCCTTCCACCATATAAAACAGCTTTAGTGACTTTAGTGAAAGCTTTAGTGAAACGTTATTTGGCACATGTGATTCTAAAGGTTGTTTTGCTAGAATGCAAATATTATTCCATCCCTATCACTTCTTGATGCAAATAAAACGACAAATTTTTGTTTACTAATCAGGACAGTTCGTAATTAATTATGCAACATTGCTACGAACAGTTTTCGGAAAAGAAAAAACAGACTAAAAAAAACATTCGTTTGCTTGATTAGCTAGATCGTCAAATTAATTAAATTGGGAAGTTCTAGCGCTGAAGAGAAGTTTCACCATAAATTTGAGTTTCCCATAATCTTTACAACCAATTAGTTGTGTGGACTAAAAGATGCGAATTGCTTAATTCTTGGCTTGTAGACAATCCTTATTGCTGCTGAATTACCGAAATTAAAGTTATGTTGGGATAAAATTTCTACAGTATCTACCAGACAGGATGATGAAACCCTTTAAGATAAATCCAATGAAGGGGATTTAAGCTAATAATGAAAGGAATGTTGCAAAGATATCTCAGTACCTAGCACAATGAATCATGTTCAATGCAACCATCAACTATTATGGAAGACAAGGAATTTATTAATTGGTCATATTACTTGTTTATTGTATAACTCATTTGTCACTGCAATCAATATTTTTCATTATTTTTTTGTTAATTAGTAATATTATGCCGTTGTTAACTAGTAATATTATGCTAAAGCAATATTACAATCTGATAAACCTATTTCGCGACAAATGAAGTCAACAAAGCAGCTGTCCCAACTGCTATGAAAATCAAAAGTCATTGGCAAGTAATTACTTGCAAATTAGTCCCTTCTATAACTTAGCTTCAAATGTTGGTAGAAATTCACAGAAAAAAATAGCACAATGCTTGGACCATCATGCTGCCAAACTCCTCAAAATTTCTTAATCGTGCAAGGTTAGTTGAATTATTAGAAAAAAAAGCTCGCCCTTTTTTAGTCCACGCAATCAATTTTTCAACTATGACCACATTTCTGTAAATGTATAAACAGTTTCCAAAAGAATTTTTACTATTAAGTGTTTTCATAACTCCCATCAAATTACTCAGAGCAAGTTTTGGGAGATTACTTTCCGAGTGTCAACAGGAAGTCATGATTAGCTTTAGGTAGGCATTTCTCTTTCGTTCAAATTTCTTTATAAAATAGTAGCCGGCATTGTAATTTGAGTAATTTTATTCAAATGTATTATTATTGATATTCATTCCTCTTCCTTTTTCTCTTCACTTTGTAAGCATTTTCTAATCAGACCTGTTACGGCACACATCTGAGTTTGAAATTCAGGCTAAGACTAGGACTGAAACTGAGATTGAGACTGAGAATAAAATTGAAGTTGAGACCTAACAATCAACAAAAGAGTAAAAGACAGAGATGCTGACAGTAACTGTCTCATTGTTGTAATATGTATTAGATCAGTTAATTTGCAATGAATTATTTGCATTTAAGCAAGTTTTTATATGGCACGTTAACAGTTCTATTTAGTAAATAAACGAAATGAGCTCAAATTCTCAATAGCGCCATGCCGACGACACTCCAAGATAAAGCTATTCGTTCAGTCCAAATTTCATAGACACATTTCTCATATTTGCATATTTGGTGCGAGGTAAAAAAAAGTTCGATGTGTCAACAAATGGAGCGGAGCTTACCTGTCGTTGTCCCCTTCCCTTTCAATAACCAAAACATCTCATTTACACTCTTCAATGAAAAATCTGCTGTTAACAACGCATCTGTCTGTCTGCCTGTCCTTAACATTCCGTTCAATGCTAATCGATAAAATTATGACAAAAAATGAAAACAAAGTACATACTTGTCTCCAGTATCTACTACCTGTATTAGAAAAAGAAGCCGGATTCCAAAACTGCATGCGTCACATCGTCTAGAACAACTTCGAGAAATAGCTTAGAAAGATGAATATTGTGGCATACGTCACTCACTGATAGCTTTAAAACGTGAAGATAGATCCCGGAAAGTGTTCCAGTAATTTGGTATGAGGTATTTGGTGATGGTATGAGTATGGCATGCGGTACAGTTCGAGATAATCGTTATGCAAATTTAAGGGAAAGATGTGTAAGTGGGATGGATGGGGAAAAGAAGGAGAAACAAAGAGAATGGATGAGCGGTGTTTATCTACCAGTATAGGTCTTAGTCTTCAATTATGTGAACAAAATTAGACCAGCTGGTTATTGCTCACAGATGATTCAGGAGATCTAGGAGATAGCAATCTTAATAGCAGGTTTGAATTCTTTAGAGGTTGAGTGGTAAAGTTTCCCTCTTATGGCTCAGCAGCAATCTTTCAAAGGGATTTTTTGTTTGGATTATGGAACGTTCTAGAGAGTGGGAAGATAATGACCTTTTATAGGTAAGGAAATGTCTCGGGATATGCTTACATACAATTAGTTGGTGGGTCGGAACTTTCATGGGATTAGTGAGGTACTGATTATTTCGTTCATCATTTATGCTCGTCACATCTAGGCTGTTATAAAGGGAGATGCCAGGTATGACCTTCATGCATGGTCCGATATCTATCAAACACAAACCAGTACTTGACATTGAGAACCGATATTTATCGGGTATGACTCTATGCTTATCAGACATAATTCCACGAACATCACACATGGTTCTTGTTATTAATTGTTGTTCAACAAATGTATTAATTTTGATAAGTTTTACAGTGGCTCAGATCAATACCAGATCACATGGTTCTGTATCTCACAAAATGGCCAGTATCGGTAAGAGTTAAATTTCATTTCTTTTTAAACTCTCACTTCGAATTTGGAGAATAAGAGAAAATATTGATGATGTAACTTAGTTCAAGATAAATGTGGAAAAAGATGAAATGCAACTGAAGGACAATTTGCATCAGGGTTTTGTTGAGCTGTGTAACGACGGCGAAACAAGCTCGTTACGGATATTTTATTTGGAACACGGAGAAGGACGTCTGGAAAGGGTTGTTTTTCTTCCTACTTATGATGCTGCTTCATGTTTTAGTTCTCTCGTTCAGGGTTCATTCATATTAGATAAGAGGTTGAGACGTTTCAAAAAGGTAACGAACGGTAGAATCCTAGTGCCGTTATGCAGAAGAAATTAAAAGGTCCAGAAAAAATTATGGCTGTCGTTGATTTTGGAGACTTTCTAGAGCAGTCTCAGTTGCTGGTCATTTAGAAGTTCAAAATAAACGCTCAGTTCATGATCCTCGAGAAAATTTTGTCTAATTATTTTCAAATCGAATTTGAATTCAGGAATGCACACAAATAAGTGGTCTAGAACGAGCGGAAGATTGCAGCAGTTTAGTATTTCGGATCTGCAGACTTAAATCAGGCATTGATTGCAACGAGTACGTGCTGATAAAACCTGAAAGATCTAAAGACTGTCATACGATTTATTACGCCTTTCGTTATCTCCAGCAGAAGCGCATAGGTTGCTTTGAAAATTAAAGATGCATTTGTTGTAAGGATATAGCCAGTAATCGATTATCAGCACGTGACAATCATCATGTATTTTTTTTGTCTGAAATCAGACGAATTCCTAGTTTCCTTGGAAATATTGTCGAGATTTTTTGCAATTAAGTTTGATTTGAGTTGGCAGATCGCTGTTATATACCACTTCCGAATGAACAAAACCTTCTTTTTTAATTTTTGGTGATACGAAATCGGCAATTCAGCAGCAATCAGTAGTTCAAAAGCGGACATTGGTTAAACAGTTGTCAAAATTCCAGCAGATAAGCGTGACACACCAAGCTTATGTTGCCAGGTATGCTCCTCCATATGTACTGTTAATGCCGAATCGTCCACAAAAGTTGATGGAATTGGGGTGATCTGTATGAACTGTAAAGTCGTACTTTTTTGAAACATAATAACTCTCTTTGCGAACAACACTTTTTGAATTTTTGTCATAATGTTTGTAAAATTGTAAAATGCTGTCCGTCTTAATCAAGTATTGCTTCCACTCTTTTTATTTTGAAATATTATGAAAGAATTTATGTTCTAATCTGGCAATACTGTTATAATTTGTGCAGAGCATGTTGTCATCAGTATCACATAATGAATTGCATAATAGTTCATTTTGTTCTTTACAGTGACCTGATAAAGTGGAAGAATAGCAGAAAGGTTGTCCCGCAGCATGTGAAGAACTGGAATCAAAAAAGAAAACCATTCACTTCTACTGAAATTTATCTGTGTTCTCCCAGTAAAAGATTTACTCATGAACCTCAAAAGGAAGCCAACAGTATTTTGTTGGATCCTCTAACCAAGCAGCACCCTGAGGAACCCTTGAAAGAAGGAGTATTAGAAATAAATAATATAACTGTAAAAAGCAATAGTCTGGCAAAGAAAATTACCAATCTGGACGATGCTTTTTCATACACCCATAGCAGACAATCTACATCTGATCTCTCAAAGAGTTTTGAGCGGTTATCGGCAGGAACAGATGCAGTTTCACCGAAAGGGTAATGGCTGAAATAGTTATACAACGTGTAGATGTAGCGGAATTTCTTAGCATAAACAGGTCATAATAAGAGTAGAAGCTGTTTAAGCTCTACTAAGCGAAATAGAAGGTTGAAAAGTTGGAATTTAGCGTAAAACACAAGTGAGAATTCTTTCATACTTGAAGTAGATTCGATGAATTAAAATTGAAACCTTGTATTTGAAATGCTGACGTCAGGTTTTTGCAATGTAAAGGAGTTTTAGCAATATTTGTAGAGGAGAACGAGAAATAGGCACAGTTTATCTTGTAGTTGTTTTGCACTCATTTATATTCCCTTCCATTGTATACATCCTTCTAGGTTCCTGAATCTCGGAAACTCATGTTATATGAATGCTGTATTACAAGGATTGTTTCATGTTGAGGCCTTCAAAGCTCTGTTAAATATCGTGCCAGAATCATCACAAGGCACCATCCTCAGGTTGTTTTTTTTAAGAGTACTGTTTATCTGTTTTTCAAGAGCATTGCGTACCATAAAATTATCTTGGTACTTCATCAGGAATGAGAATGGAAATAGATGTGTGATGTAGAAGACTGTGAAGGATCATGCAGTCCAATTCCCTGACCAAAATCCGTGCCGTTTAACATTGTAGGCTTCTTTAAAGTGTCTGATGTGTCGTGTACTTGGCAATACGATTGTTGTTGACTAAGGAGCGAAATTTCTTTTTTTCAGCGCTTTAAAAGCACTTCGGAAAAATTACCAAAAAGCAACCAATGCAAAGAAGCGGTGTTTGCTGGAAAATGTTTTTAAATTTCTTGACGACGAGCGATTTGAAATGAGTGAACAGGAGGCAGCGTATTCGATTTTTGATTTGCAAAAAAAAAAAATTCAAACTATGATTTTTCGCATGCTAGGTTTCGGTGAAGCCGAAGAAGAGGAGGGTAATATTTCTGGTAATAGTCAGCAGTACTTGAGTTTAAAAGAGTGTATTGCAGGATGCACAGGAGTTTTTAACCATTATACTGGATAAAATTAATTCTGAGCTGGAATCACTTGCAAACAATACAGATGTCGAAGGAAATCATCCACCTGAGTCAGCGATGTCTCTTTCGTCAATTTTTGGTTTCGAATTAAAACATGAAATTATTTGTAATAAGTTAGTATTTGTATAATATTTGCTCTTGGGATGCACGCGATCAATCTTCTGATTATTAGAGTTTGGAGTTTGTTGTGTTGGATGATGGTGATATATATAAGAAGCATATGTATACCACCATTATATAATACGGCAAATTTCAAATTTAAATATAAAAGACAGTAAAGATTTCGCTTTGAAATCATTACCCATTCTGCTTTGTGTTTCCTTCTGATTCCACCGGCCGTACCCACTGAAATCTGGTTAGGAGACTTAATGACTTAATTGGTGTTTTCTGCGCTGAAATTGGGACTCACAACGAGATACAGGAAATTTGCAAAGACCTTTTCAAAAATGCAACTCATTGGACATCCTAGTTATTCTGAGTTAAACAGTACATTTCATAGCGTTTATTTCAAGTTTCTTATCAGAAAGTAAAATCAGTGTAATTCTCATTTGATTTGAAAAGCACTGATTATAGGATAATGATGTCATAATTTTTGCAGATGCGGCACCGAACAAATAATGTATGAAAAAGGACTATTTCTACCGATACAAATCATATGTGAAGTGTAACTTTCATTGCTTAATGAAATTCTTTCACTTTTCTCCTTTCAAAATTCACGTTGAAAATCTTTCGGAACGGTTGGTAGGTTTAAGTAACAGCACCAAACTTTTTGCAATAAACCTTTGCAGGAACAATGACTCTCCTTCACTGCAAATGTTGCTGGAAAATTGTTTAAAAAGTGAAGTAGTTGAACATATCTGTCCTCGGTGTGGTGGGAAACAAGCTATCATGAGTCATGAATTTCGAAGTCTTTCGAAGTAAGTCACGTAACTTAAATTTTTTACCTGTACTGAGTGTTTTGAGCACAGTCGTGTCAATTTAGAGTTTTGCTGTGGAAGTGCCTTAATTTGATGCAAAACTGTTATTCTTCAATACGTAATAATTGTGAGACATTTCAGACTTGCTGCTTCAAGTCATACATTGTCTCAACGATTTATGAGCTTAAAGCCTATCTTTAAACGTCCATCGACTTCTAGTGCTGGAACATAAATGGTCATTTTCGTTGAGATGAACGATTTTCGAGCACATTGTATCTCTGTAGTTATTAAACGTGTTAAAGGATGTCACATTTTAGATGCTTGATAATCTTTCTGAAGCGTTATGATTTCAAGCAGTCAACACCAAGAAGAAGACAAAGGAAACTGAAAGATGCAGTGAAACTTTCAATGTGCATTCGTTTAATTACTTATAACGGTGAAAATTCTAAGCTAAAAAATTGTTTTAACAGCTTTCTTCCTATCAGTAATAGTATTAGCGATGATCAAGTGTCTTTTGTTCTGGAAACACCTCCAAATGATTTAGCTTCAAGCGGTTCCAGTAATTCAGGGAATGTAAGTCCCTATTACATTTAGATTTTTTCATATAATTCTTCCATTAATTTAAATATTCCTTACCAAAGTAATCCAAGTCGTTTTATAGCATTATAATTTCATATTAGAAGTGATAATATGATTCTAAAAAACAAGAATTTTCTGATTGAGAATTTCCATTGATCGTGAGGCATTGTTAAAATTGATCTCTTCAACAAAGTTCTGCATGAAAATAACCGAAATCCTTGAAAATTTGCAATAGAATTTTTTAGGTAAGAGAGGATGTTAAACGAGCAGTCCAGAAAAATGTATCAAAAACAATTCAGGAAATTAAAGACTGCGGTGGTGGAAATTTTGAGGAAAAAATAGGATGGTCCACAAAATCCTCAGCAATTGCACAAGATTCCAGTGCTGACGAGGTTTTTTTTTTCCTTTCATAGTCCACGTCTTCAAATAGAAGTATTTTTTATTTTCTTTTATTTTTACAAAATCCAGTACAATTTTTTATCCTAATTTTGGATTATAAAAGATCGCCCTTTTTTATTGAAATTGTCAGTTTGCATCAGTACCCTTTGTTTAATAGGTTACAAATCACATAATTCTTCTCTATTTCTGACCTTGATTTTTAGCTTTTTCAGAGAATGGATTATTTAACATTATTCTGCTTACCGCAACCTGATTTTTGTGAGCGCAGCTGTGCCGAACTAAATATTCGTTACCGTTCTTTAGCAGTTCGGTACCTGTTTTGAAATTTTTTGGGAACAAAGTTCAGTCTATCAGAACTTTCCAAAGGAACTGCTGACAACATTTTCGGAAAGTCATAAATGTGATGTTCATTTAAAATTTATTTTGCAGACGTGAGCCGAAACCTCTTTTCCGGAAAAGCGTACCTTCAAATATTACACCTGTTGTGGCTGATGGAAACTGTTTCTTTCGCTCCATAGCGCTTTACTTATCAGGAAGTGATGAGGATCACTTGATCGTTAGGAAAAGTGTAATCAACATTGTTTTCTTTCTAAACAATGCCTGTAAATTAAGCATAAATGATCTAGTCATTACAATTTCAAGGTAGTGAAATTTGAAGAGAAGTATGGCGATCAACTTCGTGAAGTAAACCATTTTTCGCTAGCTGGTTGGAAGGAGCATCTTTCGAAAATGGCAAATGATGGTGAATGGGCGACAGAAATTGAACTTCTCGCTCTTGCCGCTTTATTAGATGTTGAAATTTGGACATTCTTAAATGGCAGTTGGCTTCGGTATAGGCCACTGTATATAGTTGGAAAGGATGGCAAATCTCATAGTAGGTTTTTTTTTTTTCATTTTCGTTCTCTTATAAAAACTTGTACAAATGTAATTTTTACTAGATACCTTTGTTTAACAACATATTCTCTAAATAGTGGATGTGGAACGAAATTTTCCGATGGACATGCTGACGTATTTCTGACATATTTAAAAATCTTTTCATAGACTGCATAACAAACGTCTATTTGCAATAATTTTACCATGAGAACTTAAAGATTAAGCTATTTCTCAGAATTTTTTAATTTTTTATCCTATTTCTAACAGAGTTGTCAATCCAAAAATATGATGGTAGCGCAAGGAATGCCATTTTCCTCATAAATGAAAATTTTCATTATAGACCAGTTCTTGACATTATCCCGGTATGTTTGCTGATGAATTGAGTGCTGACACTTTTATTAATTTTCATAAGATTCTTTTTTTCTTCATATTTTTTTCCTATCGGAATATTTGTTGAAGAAAGCGATTTATTTTTCGTATTGAACTTTTATTCAGTGAATTTCATTCCGGAGGATGTCTTACGCACATCTTTTGTAGAACAGCGGGATATCGGATTATAACCTCGCCGCGGTTATCAGTCATAAAGGGATTGGTCCAAGTAACGGTTAGTATTTACTTGATAATTGTGAACGGTCCGTTATTATATCGAACAATGGCTGGCTTAAGGAATGGAACAGTCTATGGAACGGTTTTTAAATATAGAAATTTATGATATCCGAAAACAATCTTAGATGTGCAGCTGATTTTGAAATCTATCATTTAAATCTCATTGAACAGAAGTTAAACATTATATATATATATATATATATATATAGATAGATAGATAGATAGATAGATAGGCAAATAGATATACAGATATATAGATAGATGACATTCAGGACATTATGTATGTGATGTGAGAAACTCAAACAGAAATATCTGGATGCATTTCGATGATAATCATGTTGAAGAAAGAACGGAAGCAGAAATTCTTTCTGAGTGCATCAGAGATGGCTATATATTCTTTTATATCGCTGGTACCTTTTTGCAAACCCTTTTTTTTGAAACATTTCAATATTTCAAATGAGCTTTCTGCCTTTAAAACCCTTTCTTTTCTCCATTCTAATGGCTAAAATTTTAGAAAATTGAGCACAAGATCCGGCAAAAAAGTGGATTTTATTGCAAAATAGTCAATAGATGACGATTTAAATGTTAACCTGCTACATATATGCGCACTCACTTGTTTATAACGAATGATGGTAAAAATACTGACAATTTTCGTTTAAAACCAATTTGTTTAGTGAATACATATGGTGATGTATGATTAAAAAATTTTGAAGTCCAGGTCGGTTAATTTGTTCTGAGAGTTAAGAATGCCTATGTATATGTTTGGATATCACTTGTTAAACTTTATATGGGATTAAAATTATGTTGGATTAAACGAAAAACGATCATGAGTGATTATAAATACAACGTATATAAAATAACATTTGCTTAGTTTGTTCGTTTACTGCCTTAGGGCTTTTCCTGTGTTGAGAACGTGTTTTCGGTATGGCAGTAACTGTGCCTATAATTTTCATACTTAAGTGACCTGCTGGTGATTAATGCCTCTATCTCCATCTATACTAATTTATATAACACGTATGGCTTCTTGCTGTCAATAAAAAGTATTTATTGCCTGCTGATCTTGCTTCGTGTTTGTCGTCGAGTCTTGACTGTTGGCATTATCGCAGCCGTTATCATTTCTGTTTGGCACGATTATTCCTACAACTACTGTTGCTGCAGCATGCTTGACCAACTTATTATGGCAAGCCATTTATTTGTTCCGGCCTCTGCCACACCAGATGATTGTCATTGTTTCTGTCACTGTTAGTCAGTAGCTTGTGAGAGTGGACAGTGAAACAATCGCCTAAATTCTATAGTGAAGAGGTATCCTATCCTATCACCCGAACAGTAGCAACCAATTGCTATGATGGTTGCCATTGTTCGCTGACAGGAAAGAGATAGCCTTTCACAGTAGAGTGTAACAATACTCATACTCTCACAACTCGTCAAGAAGTATCATCCATTAATCCGGACTTAGCAAGTCGTTTCTGGACCAGCGGTGTAACTCAAGGAAAAAATCGTGGTGTCACATTTGTTGGGAAGAGGATTGGATGCAGTAATGCTAATTTAATGATTGACTTGGATTTAGCAAAAGACAAATGGGTTGGGAATAACTGGGACAGGTAGGATGATGGATGTTTGTGTATATCAGTGATCACAAAGCAGGTAGATTTGGTAGGAATTGTTTATATGTTCATAAGATGTGTGGAACTTGACTTTCGATAGGAGTGGGTGAATGCTGCACTTCCTTCTTTAGCAAAACGCATATCGGAATAGTGATTTAAAGGGAATAGAGAAATTCAATGATTTCTTCAACTTTAAATGGAATTTAATTGACGAAGACTAATAGACATGACACTTGGCATCATTTCCACACTCATATGCGGGCGTAATTAGGACTTAGCCAAGTGAGACAAAGGAAATAACAGGTGAGACAACTCTAGTATAAAAATATTATAATTTAGGATGGGACCAGATGAAAGATACTCTATGACTTAAAATCAAACATGCAGCCATGACTTCTATTTTCGAAAATATTGTCATGAAGAATACGTCTTTTCATTGAGGCGCTACCTTAATCGGCTAATAAAAGTTGAATAAGCGTTTGATATTTAGGCTTAGGTCGTGATGGAGGACGCTTTAGAACCTACACTACAAAATGTAATCAATCAAATGACACTGAAATGGATCTTCGTGGGTGGTAAAGGTGGTGTGGGTAAGACAACGTGCAGGTATTAATTTCAATTCATTCATTCTTCATTTCTTTGGTCGTAATTTCGTAACTATGAAGCAAACCTATTTATTGATCTGTATTGTTTTGTTCAGTCTTGCATAACTCATGACATGATTTGATTATTGTCTTGGTTATGATCTCTGTAAAGAGAGGTATGAAAAGATGTCCAAAATTAGGGACTTTTGAGGGATTTAGGGACTTGTTGCATTTTCGATGCTGCTATAATTGCAAGTTTTTGTTTTGGAGAAGCTATTAATTGTGGAAGTAATTACAGTTGTTCGTTAGCCATTCAATTATCACAAGTACGACGAAGTGTGCTTATAATTTCTACAGACCCTGCACACAATATATCGGATGCCTTCTCACAAAAATTTAGCAAAACTCCAAGCGCTGTGAATGGCTTCAATAATTTGTATGCAATGGTTCGTTCCACAAATCAACGTCAATCTTCCTCTCATATTTATGACACTTCATTTTTTTTTTTACTTTCTTGCTTATAGGAAATTGAAGCGAACCTGGGAAATGATGCTCAAATGCTTAATCCTGGAGTAGAGAGCAATGAAGGAGGTGTATCTTTATAATCATCTATTTATTGCCAGATAAAGTAGATTGAGATTTCAAAATTTTTACTCTGGAATCAATCACCCAAATATTTAGATTAACTTGACTACAGTAGAACTGAGGATCTGCGGAAGTGCTTAGGTCTAATAGCTTGTTTTATTTCTCAACCATTATAAACGTTAATTGTAACAGCGACCAATATATTAGGTCTCTGATTATGCTGGACTTTTATTTTCAGACATAATGAGTCTTGGCCGGCAAGTATTACAAGAAATGGTCGGTGGTCTCCCAGGTATCGACGAGGCAATGAGCTTTTCGCAAATGATGAAGTAATAAATGCTTTGTAAAAAATTTTTTATCACTACTTTCAAGTATGTTAGCTTTCTACCTAATGAACTCTTGAATTAGTATTGTTTGTATATCCACTGCTGACCGTATTGGCCATTTTACAATAAACTATTTTCTTCTGAATGATCGTCCTGTTAAATTATCTGCTTCAAAGTATACCCTCCCTACTGTGCTCTTCATTATTTTTTATTAGCAAAAGTTGTGAATCTTCAGACTGATACAATCAATGGACTTTGACGTGGTTGTTTTTGATACGGCTCCAACAGGTCATACTTTGAGATTATTGCAATTCCCAACGCTTATCGAAAGTAGTTTGGGCAAACTTATCGGTTTGCAGAGTTCATTTGCTCCTCTAATGGCGCAGGTAAACTTGTTTTGTTGATCAAGTCATTGATGTCTTTGTTTAAGCTTCTTTATCAACTAGGTGAAATCAAACACTGTATATAATTAGTTTATTTTCCTCCGTCTTTTGCTTACAAAATATTACTTAGAATATATTTAGGAGCTAACAAAAAGGGTAAGGACTTTAAAAACGACTTTATTTTATTAAGTTAGGCACAATACATGCATACGTGACATTAAAAAGATTGAGGATAGATACGACGACTTTTTTTATCACTGAGATTGGCCTTGCACTTCTAAAAACGAGTTGTTGATATTTTTTTAAATGAAATGTGTTTTCTTACGAAGATTTGTTATGACTTGACGTGAAACAAATATGGATGTTTAACAACATAGATAAACATAGATGTTGCAGTTGTTAAATATCGATATATGTTTCACCTCGTTTGGCAGTTATATGTAGCGCGGTTGTTTCATACTTTTTTATTCTAATATGTTTATTTGTCTCAGACTTTTCATATGTATGCATGTTTAGATGGGTGGAATGTTAGGTCTTGGCGAAATCTCAGCGGATGATACGACGAATAAGCTGAGGGAAACACTGGACGTAGTGAGGAGGATAAACTCTCAGTTCAAAGATCCGGTTTTCTTTTTTGGATGTTGCATTTGGAACCTTTAGAAATATTTTCTAGTAGCATACTAGGAAATCAACTTTTGAATTTATTGATATTATTAATAAGACATTTCTTTAATTTGCTAATTCAGAACTTTCTATTGGTAATTTTAATAGTGGATTCGTGGGACTCATCCGTTATTCTGTTACAGGATCTCACTACTTTCGTTTGTGTATGTATTGCCGAATTTTTGTCTCTCTATGAAACGGAACGCCTTATTCAGGAATTAACGAAACAGGTCCTAATTTTTTTCATGTATGTGTTTTTAAGCAGTACCATTTTTGCTGAATTTACTTATTGATAAAAAAGAAAAGTTGCAGAACATCGATACGCATAATATTATCGTCAATCAATTACTGTATCCGGAAGAAGATGAGAATGGTTGTGTAAAGTGTAAGAAATGTTCAGCAAGGTACGGCATACAAACGAAATATTTGGAACAGGTTTGAATAATCCAATTTAAGATATAATTTCTTATTCTTGGAGTAAATTTTATGCATCGAAAAGGATCTTCATCATTTTCGTCTTGTTTGTCACCAATGCTTTTTAATTTATCACTATGAACGGTATTATGGGAAAGTTTGTAACTTTTTATTGTTGATTTATTTCAGATTGCTGATCTCTATGAAGACTTTAATGTAACTAAATTGCCACTACTTGAAAGCGAAGTACGTGGTCCGGAACAGCTACGCAATTTCAGTCGCTATTTAATTGTTCCATATGATTCAAACGGTAGTACTGTTGAGGATTTAATGACTCACTGATATTGTTATAATTTGTTTTCCATTTCATAAATTTAAGTATTCCTGTGCTTATTGGTTGACCTTGAATTTATACTTGCCGTCGTGACGAACAACAGTTAGACACCAATAGCTCTAAAAGTTGTTGGCATCTACTGAGATTTTTTTGGAAAACTCGAAATTTTTTTTAGTTCAAGCAATTTTTGGAGGAAAGTTCATTTTCTAATGTATATATTTTATTTTTTGTTGTTTTTAAAGCTTTCGCACGTGAAAGAGCTGAGTGTCTACAAATAGATTTAACCCCTTGAAATCACTGTTGGCGAATCAACGGTAAACAACAAAAATGGTTTTTTGTTGAGACTTCCCTAGTAACCGGGCGGCAATCGTGCCTTCGGACAATGTTGGCAGTCCCCGTGTTCGCCAGATCCACCTTGCGCTCCTGGTGGTCCGGCACTCCCTTGTCTTCCGGGTTTACCAGCTAAGCCCGGTTTGCCACGTGGACCAGCTGCCCCATCAGGTGACTTGCCATCACGGCCTGGTCTGCCTCGCAGTCCGTAACCTCCTGGTGGACCATTCCTTCCCTTGAAGCCGCGTCCTTGGGATGTCTCTACTTTGATTAAGATACCCGGGTTGCCACGTGCGCCTTTAGGACCAACTTTCCCCATACCACCGACAGGACCTTTTGCACCTTGCAGACCTGGTCGTCCATCTTCACCGTCTGCACCATTTTTGCCTGGTGCGCCTTTTGGTCCTTTGGGTCCTTTAAGACCGGGTGTCCCTGGTGGTCCACGTGGGCCTTCTGGGCAGATAACACAACGATCCTCCTAAATAAACGAGGGATAATTTCCTGTCAGAATAAATTAGTATACTGGATAACCAGGACCGTATCTGTAGTGATGGAATGATCTTATTTTATGCGAATACGATTGTTTGAATTCCACCATGGCATATTCAGAGGCATCTATCTGAAGACTTTGTAAGTTGCCATTTCATTGATTGGGTTAATAGCTGTTCCATTTTAATTCAGTACTGAGAATGGAAGTTTTCAGATTCCTTCTTACCTTTTCTGTTGGAAAAAGTAATTTCGCATCTCGTCCTTTGTTACCGTCTCTGCCAGGTATACCATCGATACCAGGAGGACCAGTATCACCAGGAGCTCCTGGTTGACCTGCTGGTCCTTGCTGACAGGAGCAGCGGCACTTATTCTGCGACGGCTTATAGTTTGCCTTAAGAGGCAAATGTGGATATTGATCTGAAAATGAAACAGAAGTTCGAGATTGGAAAAAATGAAATGATATTTTGAAAATTCAGAAATCATGAAATCTGTGCTATTAAAGAGTATGATAAAAATGTATATGTTACCTCTTGCTCTGCTACTAACAGCACACGCCTCAACTGTTACATTTTGATCGTTTGTTTGGAAATAAGTGAAAACTGATTGCACACTGTGTCATCTTTGCGATGATTAGAGCTTTTTTCAGTAAAATACATTAAATTAGAAGCAGTACCAAGGTGGGTTGGGAAGGACGGTCCAATTGAATTGATCCCGTAACTGCTATATTGTCGTTTCTTCCGGTCATTCACAATGTCACCATCTTCAATGCTTAGCAATGAAAATTTTATGTTTATGTCCCTTGTTCTTGCCTGAAATTTCTGACCAGTTAAAGATTTCTTCATTCTCAATAGCCAATTCAGCGGTTAGGGCTTCCACAAGTAACTGAAAATTGAACTATAAAAATCTGTCTTTAGTAAGTATGCAATACTAATACGATAACATTTCTCCTGCTGTTTTTTTTTCCAAGTAAGAAAAGGGTGGATTTTGTTCGAAATTTTTGTCAGTTCTATTCACTGAGTAGAAGAAGCTCAAAGTTCAGTTGTACAGTTGTATGGGTACAATAAATAATATTTGTGAGACTGTCAAATTAGGCATTTAAATGTAAATTCATCATAGTTTGTCCTAAATTCGCATTTCGAATAAATTGAGCACTTTCAAGGCGAAAGCCTAATCTACTGGAACAAACTGGTAAAGAAAGAGAGAAGTTGTTGGAAAAGAAGGGAGTTGCAAATTCTGATTTACAGGGTTTCAAAAGGTTCAACGAACGGAGAGGAAAAATGGACAATGTGGAAGAAGACAGTCTAATAATATGTTCTAAAATGAGAGGTTTTGAAATATAAAAGTGAAAATGTTTGGGATTATTCTCTCATAATTTCATTTTTAACGTTAACATCATTTACGTATGAAGTGAAAAGATGAAATATATTCCAAGGAAGGACACTTTTGTCCATTTTTACTTTAAGCTGAACAAGGAATTTAAAATGAAAATGGAATAAACTTTCTAACCTTGCAGTATTCTATTTCACGGAACAAGTGGCTCTGAAAAGTAGCAACAAATGAGTACAGCATTGGTAAAGTGATAATAGAAGTGATTACGGCAGCAGTTGAAATCACTACAGCAAGAAAAGCAGATTGACGGAGTTGTTCATGTTCCAACGAGGATGCTTTTCCAAACATCATGTTGTTATGGTCACTGCTTTCACGAAAACCTGGAATTGGTCTGTGTCAAGTTCTAGGTTGATAAATTGGCTGTTAGCTGACGCCCTTTGTATAGCTGAAGCTGATCATAATTTACATGAAATGGTCCAACAATAAACAACATCAATTCAGTTTGCAAGTACAAGGCAGTAGCGCATTTGTTGGGGAAGAAGTCCGATTATTATAATTTTCGAACTAATAAAGGTTTGGAATTTAAAGTCAATGGTAAAATATGCACAAAAACAGACATGGAAGATATTTAGCAAAATAGTAACAGCAGTAAGGGATAATAATCTTCTAGCCATTTCGATTTACAGGTAAGTTAGCAAATTGCGCTCTTTATTTGTTCGCTTCGCCTGCGCAATCCCCTTAAGAAATATGTTGCATTCGTTGCAGGATGTATCGATCATTAGGATGTTTACTGCTCTATAGCTTTCTGGTCACTACTGTACGAAACCAATAAATAAAGCATTGTTTATAATTTGAGTGAAATCACCCTGCTTTACAAACAATCGAATGAAACGTTCCTTCATAAATAGGCTGTGTGGTGGACTCATCTTAGTTTAACGAAATAATTCTTAAGTTTGTTGGACACATCTTAATTGAAAACTTAAAAAACAAAAGAATTCATTACTGGAATTTCTGTGAATCAACGACCAGTACAATAGATAGTAAGGAAAAATATTTATCGTAAAAAAAAAGATTCTCTCAAAGAGGAGCACATAAGGAGACAGAATTTAATGATCGCAATGCCGCTGATAACGCGATCGGAAGACGAAAAAGGGAGGGGTCGTCAGTCTTTTCGTTCCGAATCCGACACGGAACTCATTTCAGATTGATGCCAATCCATCAGCTCTATTGATGGAAGTTGAAAAACAAAACCAAAACTGAAACAAAAAAACAAGTGAGAGGAGCATATCTGTCTTTTTCTTCTAAATATTTTCCTAAAGTAGGCAAACGTGACAGATCTTCCTGAACTTCCATCTTCTTTGTTTGCTTCTCCAATCCTTAAATTATAGTGACCGTATTTTCAACTATCACTACCTGTTTTTAATTAATGAAATTTTGGCAAGTTTTCTGTTTAGATATCGATTTTGAATTGGATGTGAAAAATATGTATTCAGCCGTACAGCAGTGAAACTCTTGATTTCTCCACTCATGACATAAGGGAACAATAATTGAAATTGTAACTTTCTTAGAAACAATTGTTGCGGCGAAGTGGTCTCGTTAAAGTATAAATGGGTACAAGATAGGACAATAAATTACCTCCTAGATAATGCAAATAATCAAGCTAATTTCTGCAAACACCTTTATGTATTATGTATATGGTAAAGGTGAGTGACTTGACATGGAACTCGTTCTAACCCTTTCATATGTATATATCCTAACATAAGTGATCAGTTAGATGAGAGAGAAAACAGGCCTGCATAAAGTCCTTTCAATTCTGATTCCATACACATTTGCTGTTAAAAAGTGAAATTCGAGATATCAAGCAATTGTCAAAAAAATTACACAGAACATAGGAAGTCAGTAACATCATCATCATCATTCACACCAAACATCATGAATGTAACAATGGCTTCGATGATTGAACTGTATAATCTCTTATTATGGTACTTTGGCTATATTCAGCTATCTACTGGTAATCTTGGACGATATTCATTTATTTCTTCAGTAAGAACAGCTATACCAGACCTATTTTTCAGATCGAAGGATTCTGAAACGTTATACAGAAATCTTCGAGTATCTCACATAAAGAAGCTTGCTTTACAACTATGATTCAAAATTATGCTTCAGACTTATCATCTCGTGGCGAGTCTTGAGACTACCTACAATGTTCTGTATCCTTTTCGGTTTCTAATAATCCTATCTCCTCAAACTTTGCTACCCTTCTACTTGCATTGCTGTATCGCTTCGCGACGTCAACCAAAACGTAAACTTGCTTATTTCTATACCAATAACAGCATGATCAGTTTAATAAAAATTCAGAAAAGCATTAATAATATAAAAGAGAAAAAATGAGTAGCATTTCATCGATTCCATTTCATTTCATAGAGAAAATTCGGTACTGTACAATGCTGAAGTACATAAAGTGAAGTAGGGAGATCACAGATATTTGCAATCTAGATTAAGGACAATGTATGGTAGCTTGATAAGTCCCCTTTCCGGAAAATGCTTTATGCGATATTTATACTGATGTTTGTCGCTGTGTCTACAGATATCAATCAATGAAAACATGATAAAAACGTTATAAGCCGCCAAACTGCTCAGCAAGTGAAACAGTGCATGGAAATACGGAGCTCCTGAAATATTTATGGTAGCGATTTTCGATATATTTGCAAATATCGAGTAATTTGATCCTAAAAGTGAATTTTATGGGAATTTCTACAAAAAATCGATTCATGCAATGATTTTCATTCATCATTCCAATAAAATGACTTAAAACAGCCTTTTCAATCTATGTAAAACAGTTTGATTTCTTCAGTCTGTTTGAAAATATTTCCTTAAAAATAACCTAAAAGAAGCCAGAAATCACAGAATACTCGGTCAGATATCCAACAGATAGAAGCAGCGGTCCACAGTATTGATATTTTCCGTGGAGAGCTGCTGATTTCAGGAATGCCAGCACTGAAAAAAAAGGATCAACGAATATTGGCATATGTATAGAAAGTGGACAGGGCTCATATATGGCTTTTCAATCTGGAAGAAATTCATTCGCAAAATAACTGGATAGCACATTCACTTAGCTGCTTCATGATGGATGATAGCGATACTCGGTATGGACCACAACATTAGTACCAGTGCATTCAGTGACGGTTTCACGAAACAAAATGTACTGACCACTACGGTCATTGCCGTTATCGCATAGCGCACTTTACCTCTGCAATTTTTACATGACAGTTTAGAACTTACTGATTTTATAATTTCAAAAATTAAAACGATTTTCAGTGTAATTGTAACTATGATTACGAATGAGTGATAGGGGGCACTGGCCATCCTTCTTGGTGTAAAGTACGAAAACATACATATATTTGTGATATTGTTGTGGGTAGAAGCTGAAAACTGGAAAATAAGCAGCCAAGCACATCATTAATAACCACAATATGCTAATTTCATCAATTAGCTGACCTGGAATAAAGTAGATAAATATCAAGTTGGATGTTTTCATCCATAAATTATTTGTAATACTACCGTGAGATTTCAATGAGAAATAAATTCAGGTGAAGTGAAGTTAAAATTTCTATTGCGAGGTCAATTCTTGATATTATCAATTTTTAGCTTCATAATTATTAAGATGAAATGACAAGTAATATCAATAAGTAAAATAAAAATCACCAAAAAGATTGAGGGTGGCATGATAATAAGTAGACGCAATACCATTTACAATGAGGAGGATATGGGGCATAATAACAACCCAATTAACAGTCTTGATATATGATCTTATCAAGAGAACGTTTACAAGTGGTAACGTTATCAATGGTAAATTTGTTACCTGAAATATATCAGCTTTCAAATTTATGCATTAGATTTTAATTGTAAATTATTTAATGGACTGCAAAATTTATTGTTTAAATATGTATCCAGAATTCGCATATTCATAAAGAATGCTTTTTATGGAAGCGAATTGATAAGATATAATTCATTAAAAATACGCCACTTGGAGATAACAGTGTGGATATTCTCTTCAAAAAGTATTTGCAAAGTAAAGTTACTACACTTTCTTTGCTCGAACCTTCTCACTTTGACCACGTTCCTGCTGAATAAGTTGATATTGGAAATCAAGGGTGAAAAAAGTGAAGTTTAATTGATGTTTTACGTTTTATGCTACAATTGCACCTTCGTTTTCATATAGGCCATTGAATAAGCTACACTTGGTAAAAATAGGACAAACAACCGACAGTATTAGCGAATTCAGCAACGATCGATACAGTTTGGTATTTGTAGGCGCTTTCGCACCATGCATGTCCACTTTCGTAGTCGAACCATCGATCCAGTCGCATTGTAGTTGATTGCATTTGTTAAGCTATCTGCGAATCTAAAAATCTATTTTAAAAAAAAAAACCTGAAAAATCTAAATTTCTTTTTTGTTGTTGTGAACGATAATTTGACACAATGAGATCGATAAGCAACGTCTCTAATTTTTCCTTTATGTTTTATGCGTCATAATTTATTGGAAATAAAACAAATCTTGCTGTTTCAGAATCAATGAAATTGAAATTATGAAAGTGTAGATGCCTCATTGTGTTTTCATTTATTTATTTAAAGCATTCTAAATCTTCTAGACTTCCGCCTCTCAAATTGATATACTTTTTGATTATTTAGTACACAAGAATTTTTCTATAACCAGCAAATAAAAATAATAACTAAAAGTGCAAATAACTAAACAAAAACAGAAAATGCGGACGAAAAGAAGTTTTATGGTAAAAGTAAAACAAACTATCAAAACTTTAAATCCTATAATTACTTTACCAAAACTAAAATCATTCTAAGTTTGATGGTTTTTCCAACAAATGCATTCTATAAATATCCGAATGAATGTCAACACTATTATGAATCTAATCAATAATTTTTAGTTCCTGAGTTCAAAAATAAAAAAGTGAACAAAATGATTAGAATTTTGCGTTCATATTAAAAGCAGAAAAAGAAGTCAACTTAAACGAACCGACCACATCCAATAGATGGAAATTTTTAGACAATAATTTATTTAATTGGACCAAAAATTGTAATTCCTGTTTTATGAATGTTTTAGTTTCCGAACGCAAAAGAAATTTGTTTCGATGACGTCAAAACGAAAGTTAGCAATACCTTTTAAGATTTTGTGGTATATCTCATGAAATTTGTGGGATATCACTAAGAACTTGATATTCGATACATTTCTCTGTTTTCAATATCCCACGGCGATATATGCATGCAACTTTTTTGATCAATTAGTCGAAAATGAAGAAAAAGACCGCTAAAAAAATAAACTACGAATTAAAATTTTGACATTTCTTGAGAAATAATTCGAAAAGATTCAATTAGATCAATGCCTATGCTCGGAATGATCTACTGAAAACTTGGAGTAATTTATTTTATCAATCGAAAATACCTTTTTTGTTTGTAATAATTTGTGACTAATCTACAATAATCTCACAGTAATCAAGTAATTGATATGCGTAATCTGTACATGCCAAATCAAATAATGCATTGTCCTTATCATATTCCTAGTGAATTTAAACTCAAGCATATTTACACGTGGAGTAATACTGCTATCGTTCACCTAAACCCGAATATATTGCCGATAATCATATTTAATTCCATTATTCATATCCCTACAAAACGAAAAGTAACACAGATCAAATAATCGATATTCCGTATCTTTCTGAAATAAATTTAAAAATGTGTCGAGTACACTAGTGCCAAGTTTAATATGTTGTCTGTTAGGATGCTGGTGCTCATTATATGCATTTCATTTCGATCGATCATTCACTTGTCCAAATGTCTATTCCTTCATTTATGTTTTTTGGCCAAATGATCCAAACGGAGGAGGTAATATAATTAATGAAATTAACGGTTTGCTCATGTTGTTTTAAATTTAAAGACAGCTTCAGTAATGGTAGAGAAGAAAAAATGAGCATAAATATTTCTGCATGATATTTACTGTCGAATGTGCATGTTACACAAACAATGGTGCATAGAAATGTGGAAGTACAGTGCATACTGGTACTGTATTTCTCGACACTTCCGGAAATTCCACGAATTTGATCTTTTTCATAAGACCTAAACATGAATTGAGGTAAATATTTGTTTCGCATGGACAACAAGAGAGGTGGTTGGTGGTTCTTCGCCATTTACTGCATTAAAAGTAAATCTAGTTTAGCATTTGTTTGTTAAAAGATTGTTGTATGCTTCCGCCAGCAAACCAGAACAATTCATCCTAACGTCAAAATAGTCTTTGAACAAGCCATATTGATAAAAAGTAGGTAGAGAATCACTAAGATTGTAAGCATGAACGACACTTGTTTGATGATGAAGCCATCGCTAAAAATTATTGATTGTAGTGAAATGTACAAAACTTGTTCTCCTTCAGTAATACGCAAAAATGTCATTTCATATAATTATTCTGCAAATTTATCAGGCACAGTTTTGCATATTGAGTTAGAGATGAAAGTTTTTCTTGCCTTCTGTCAGAAACTTTCCATATTTTTCAAACAGTTTAGGACAACTACAATTATTCATCCATAAATTTCAAGCACCACAACGGCAATGCATGCAAGCTCAGTGCTTGCAGTTCGAAAATCACCCAAGTAATTACGATTCATTTATTAAGAAATTATCAAGGATAACTAGGAAGATGATGGTAATAGTGTTTATAATTATTACACATGAAACGAAATTCACAGAGAGAAATAATGGAATCATCACTGTTAGCTTATTATATACAAGTAAAATTAATGATAGAAATTCATTAAAGAAATTTCGATTTTTTTTTATCACACCGAAATGCAATTCTTAGTAGAAAAGATATTGACAATCCAGTTCTTTTATCCTCGTTTTGGTCTATTCGGCTGACCTCAAATTCAAGATCCAAGCATCAGAACAAAAATGACTAAAGACACTCCATCGTTCATAATTCGATGATTAGTCACTCTTCTACAGAATAATTAGACATCTTTACGAAAACGAACCCATGATTTGCTGTGTGATGGCACTGGGCACACTATGTGGGTACTATCGAATCACTGCAAATTTTTTACAATTGCAGGAATTTTTGCAAAAAAGCAGACTCCTTTCGCAAATTTCCCATTCCGTTATTGGTAGGATCTTGGATTCCCAAATAGTTGGTCACATTATCAGTTGGTCGTTTTATATTAGAACATTCATTGACATTTTAGAAGTAATCATTCCAAAAAGAAATATTCTCAAAACATAATGCGAGAGAACAAAAAACAATGAAATATTTCAAATTTAACAAGGAAAGCGATGAAGGGAATCTTTCTAGTATAAAGATTAAATTTAATGCTAAAGATTTCAAAGATTCTAAGCAGATAAATCTAAATCTATTCATATTGAGAAGTTCTATCCAGGTTACTTATTATTACTTTCCTCCTAAGTTTGTTTTCGCTCAATGACAAGCGATTTTGTTAGTCTACCGATAATATTTTGCAGTTCACACTATTATCATTAAAAGTAAATACGTTCCCTCTCAATTTTCTATCAAAAATGCATTTATTTACCTGTAAGTCCAATAATCTTCGCTCTATTTAAAAACAAAAACTATTGGTAAGCGTAAAACACACCTCTATTAGTATTTTATGATGTATGCTAATGCTTTATTAGCATTTATACCTTTTCAGTTCAGCAAATAATTTGAAATTTATTCTTTGAACAAACAAAAAAAGAAATTAGAATGATCTTTGGAAGAAAAATTCGAAATTTCTCTCTTAACGAACTGGAAGAGTTCCATTTACTTGGGTATTTTAACTTTCTATCATTTTTCAACTATTATTTGTGAATGAATGATTAATTACCTGCTAATAATATGATTTCCTATGTTATTCCTATCTGTCAAACTTCTTCACAACAAAAACTTCTAAACTACCCGAGAAAAACATTTATAAGTAAAAAAGTTTGGTCAACAAAATGTCAAGCTTTACCAGAGATGTAAAAAGCATTGTAAAAAAAAATTCTGATTGATATATTATAATGATGAAAATGAGCAACAAATAATATTGTAATCCTACGAGTTCAGGACTTCATTATTAATACTCCCTATTGATATTTCATTAATCTTTTTGTAATCCATATTGATAAAGGAAGCCATTCAGATCTGCAAATTGTTTCAAAAATTGGGAAAGAACTAACCAAATTTAAAAAATTAAAAACAAAGAACCAATAGCTTTTATTTCACGTGTAGCAAAGCTTCTGTTAATTCATGAACCTGAACAAAACTGAGTCGGACATAACAGAACTTTGGTGTCAAATATTGCACATCACGCGTAATAATATTGTGCGTTGTTATCGGTTACTGGTAACTCTTTTTGTAAAACTGGTTGTATCAGAAATAATCAAAAAAAAAAAGGAGAAATCGTCAATATAACAAAAGAAAAATTAATGTCAGATTTGGCTAAAACTTCAAAAAACCCCAATATGCCATCATTTTCCCAACTTCTTTGCATTATATTAAATGACCAAATACGAAGTAATGAGAGCACTTCTCATTTGAAAATTGATCGAGACAACAATAACATTTTTGGATTTTTATATCTGATTCAATTACACATCAAACTAATCTTTAATTTCAGTATTTTGAAAATATGGAATTAAATAACTTTCCGTGTTTTTCCATTTCAAAAGCAGCTTACATAAAGCACGAATCAATTCAAACATTTGCTAAGATCACGATTTATTCTCTTTTGCTCATACCAGAAGATGAGGATATAACTGTAAAATATCTTGTCAAGAGGGTTGTTCCATTATTTCATGTAAAATAAAAAATTTTAATGAATTCCATTACCTAATCCTTTATTTACCCAATTACAACATGGGCATAATCTTGAAGTTAGCATTCGCAGGTGCAGTGGCGATATAATTCGGCTTCATTTTGCCCGAAGCACTTATATATATATATATATATAACTTTTTAGTTGAATAACAATCAGAACACTCACAGCAACTAGTTTGAATTTCTTCAATTTTACAGTTTACCCGTTCCTTTGTGTTGTTCTGATGATTCTAAAACTAGTATAGCAGTTTATCCTTAGTGCTGAAAACAACTTAATTATTCAATGAAATGGTACAAGTTCTCTTAAAAAGTGATTTTACCATTTTGAATTATTCATCTCTTATTTGATGTCCCTAGCTATACTCTAAAACGTAATGATAACACTTGACAAATGAAATTGATTACCAGCTTATTGGCTGAAGCATTATGGTTATGTTGCGTAGGCTTGAACAACGCTCATAGTCTTGAAAGTTGGACTTGATCGACATTTATGACTTGAAACTCATAAGAGGAGAACGGCTGAGAATTTTTTGTACTGAAGGACTTCTCTTTATTGCAGATAGCTATAAACTTCAACGGAAGTTATTGAACTTCACATTATAGATCAATTGACGGAAAACAAAGGAAATGATAGAATTAATTAATCAAGTAATTGCTATCTGTAGACAATTTTTTACATATGCAGCAAACCCTTCATCATTTTATTGTCTTTTTAAATTTATGCCTGAAGTGATGCGATCTGTTAGAATGATCTACGAGAAATTATTCCGCGATCACTTACTTTAATTGGACGTTTCAACGAAAAGTTCAAAAACAATGGGAACATAAATACTGAATTTCTTTTTTTGATAATTTTAGCCAACTAATCAACTAATCAGTAAAATATTTGAATATATCAGACAATAACTTGGCATTCATGTTGCACTTCGTTATAACAACTGATTTATCGTGTCTGTTAAAAATAAAATGGCAATTAAAAAAAATGATGAATTAATCTAAGCAAGCCAGATCGCGTTTTCCAATTTTCTCAACTTCTGAATAACATATTCCAATTTCGGCTCAGTCCTGGTTTCAGTTTTCAATATTTTATACCTCTTTATCACCAGTACACTGAACTCTCAATCATTACAAAAACCATAAAATTTCTATGAATTTTTCGCATTCTATGCCTTGAACTCGTATTGCTTATAGTTCATCTCTTTCTTGTTTATCCTTCAGTACAATTTACATTTAATAAAAAAAAAACAAGACTCATCAATGATGGGCTCTCGTTGGGTTCATCCACGCTTCAGAGCCATAACCTCAATATTAAACCCGGACTTCTCTCAATGCATCCACTACAAGCGTATATATCATTGCCTCTCACAAACGACAAATGACAAATGACATACTTGCACTGGGATATTTCCTCCTTCTTAGCTTCATCTCCTACCTCCAGTCTTTTCTTTACAACATTTTGCACGGCAGCTGCAACTTCCTCAGAATACTTTCCATATGTTTTTACATTTCCTCTTCCGACATCCAACTTCCTCACTTTAGCTCGTACCTCCTTACCTTTATTCTGTTGTATAAGTATGCTTAGTGTTTTTCAGTATTCCCACTAAAAGAAAGCTAATTGAGTTTATTAAGGCATATTTAGAGTACAATTTCATAGATGTGAGATCACATCAAATACGATCGATTAGCTTGGAAGAGTCTTGTAGTGTTAGCTACATAACAGTTACGTTTTATCGCATTCACACATTCACTACTTGTTTAGATGGATTTTCAGTGTTTCTTAATCATGGACCTGTCCTCTCTTCCCTAATGTAATGAATGGTTTCTAGCCCTACCAATGCTATTTGTCACGTATGACCTCCTTAGTGCCATGCTTGCTTCACTGTATTTTTACCATTATTGATATCGGTTAAACTTGACAAGGGAGCATACACTGAATTCATCCCGCACTGCACAGAGGCTGTTATGGTCTCTATTTTCTGACTTCAATGGATATTAAAATGAAATGGCCTGCATGTAACGGGGAGATATCGGATATTACTACTCGCTGCACATTGAGATATCCCATGTACTTTGCTAATACACAACAAGAGAGGCAAGAACTTCTGCACTTTAAGTACTGGTTGTGAGGGAAGATATTTCGAGAATTTATCGCTGGCTTAGGCTATCGTAATGATATACTATTTGATTGTTTTCTATTCGTTACAACGATCCCAGCACAACCTCAAAGATAATATTGATTCAGTGAGGGCTACCACATATTAATTCAAATTTAACCTTTAACCCCCACTGCCAGTATGCTTGGACCTACTGAAATTTCCAGTAGATTAGCAGGAAATTGTAACCCTTCTCATTTCCAAAAATAAGCGACAAGCTATTTCATTTGTCGGTGGTCAGATCGATCCAGCACGCCTTTTGGGATCTCTTCCCGTCTCAGTGAAACAGACGATACCTCGTCATACAAGACGCTGAAATGTGATGCATTAACGTATGATGCAAAAGAGGGATTACACGTCAGTGAATTGGAATTCAATAGAACTCGTAACGGACGTACTTTTAAAAGATTCAAATTCTTTAAAATTTGAATACTTTCAGGGATGACAGGGCTATGGGTATTAACGTTAAGTGCTGTATCTATGTGTAGAATAATGGCGCAAGAGGCAAACAATGTGCCGAAGTTGCTTGTGGTAACAGTTGCAACAGAAGAAACAGACGGCTTGAGACGATTGAAACGCACGGCTCATACTAATCACTTTAGACTAGAAGTATTTGGTATGGGCGAAGAGTGGCGAGGAGGTAATACTCGCGTCGAACAGGTCGATCCGTTTTGTTGTTCTTCCAGACAATATCTTTATATTTTCGAATTAACTGCAATTGTTCAAGTAAACCATTCCTTCATCATTCTCCAGAATCACTTTGCTGAATAAGTATATTCCATTTCTGAAATTTTACTCATTCGATTAATGTTGATTTAATTGGAAATGAAAAAATCTGTTTGATTGAAGTATCTTCAAAAGGATTATTTTTAGGGTGGTGGACAGAAAATACGCATTTTACGGAAGTCTTTGGGAAAGTATAAAGACAGGGATGATTTAATAATACTGTTTGTTGATGCGTAAGTGTTCAAATTTATATTATATAAATTAAATATATATTTATTTATTTATATGGTTTATTTACTTACATTATGTTGTGTTTGTTTATTCACTTGTTTATTTATTTTTTTATTTATATTATATTATATTCATGTTGTATAAAAAATTTTCTTATATCATACTTATATACAATATATACATATATATATATATATATATATATATATATATATATATATATATATATATATATATATATAT